CCGTGACTCCGATCTTCTTTGGAATCACTTGGGTTGGGCTAACCCATTTGCTGTCGGAGATGGCGAAGATTATCCCCATTTGGAGTAGTTTGATCACCTCCTTTTTGACCACCTCCATCATAGGTGGGTTTAGTCTTCGTTGCGGCTGTCGTACCGGCTTGGCTTCATCCTCCATTAAGATGCGATGCATGCAAGTAGATGGACTAATGCCTTTGATGTCGGCTATAGTCCATCCAATTGCTAGTTTATGCTCTTTGAGCACCGCTATCAATTTGCCTTCTTGTTCCCCGGTCAATTTGTTTGAGATAATGACCGATAGTGTCTCGTTTTCCCCCAAGAACACATATTTCAAGTGTGTTGGGAGTGGTTTCATCTCAACTTCGGGTGCCTGCAAAACTGAAGGTAGAGGCTTTTCCTCGGGGATGGTTAGCGGAAATACCCTAGACCCCGGTGGCATAAGTGGGAGTTGGAAGTGAGTATCCAATTCCACTATCATAGCTTGTGTGTTGGGGGTCAAGGCAAGTTCTGAAGAGTTTTCCCCGGAGTCATTCTCAAGTATACTTAACAATTCATCCTCTCTATCGATTTCAAAAGTATTTTGTACAAGGGGGTCAACAATATCAATGGCAAATAAAGAATGATTTTCATTTGGATATTTCATGGAGTCATAAATGTTGAATTCAACTTTATCCCCATCAAATTCCATTGTTAAAGAGCCGCTAAATACGTCAATCTTTGCTCTAGCGGTTTTCAAAAATGGCCTTCCTAAAAGGATAGGAACCGCATTCTTATCATTCTCCATTTCCAAAACATAAAAGTCAGCGGGGAAAATCAAATTGTCAACCATAACTAGTACGTCTTCGACAATACCTTTATGGTAGGCATTTGATCTATCCGCAAGTTGAATGACTACTCCGGTTTCATTTAAAGGGCCAAGCTCAAGTGATTTGTATAAAGAGTAAGGAATGACATTAATTGATGCTCCTAAATCGAGCATGGCTTTTGAAAACGTAGTTCCTCCCAACTTGCAAGGTATAGTGAACATGCCCGGATCATTGTATTTCTTTGGGAGTTTCTTTTGAAAAACTGCCGAAACACGTTCACTAACTTGGACTTTTTGTTTTCCATTGAGTCTATGTTTCCTTTTTATTGTACATAGTTCTTTGAAAATTTTTGCAAATCTAGGGACACCCTTTATCAAGTTAAGGAGGGGGATATTTACCTCACATTTGGAGAATGTCTCATAGATGTCCTTGTCCTTCTCCAGCTTTCGCGTTTCCCTTAGAGCCTCGGGGAAGGGTGCTTCAATCTCGGGAATGACCGGTGGTGGGGTTGGGATTTGAACTTCCACCTCCGGTTGAGTTACTTCCGCCAGCTCCTCTTCTTCCTCCTTTTCGCCAATGTGGCTCTTTGCCTTCTCCTTGGCAATAACCAACTCCTTGCCACTCCGTAATGTGACTGCATGGGCTTGTTGCCTAGGATTCGGCTCCGTTTGAGATGGTAGCCTTGCCGAATCCTTAGCTTCAAGCCTACTCACGGCGTTTGAGATTTGGCTGATTTGGCTTTCCAAGTTGTGGATGCTGGATTTTGTTGTTTCTTGGAATTGAACCACACTTTGTTGCATTGTTGCCATATTCATGGCGAGTGATCGAATCATGTCTTCGGTTGACATGTTCGAGTTTGAAGTTTGGCCTTGTTGTTTATATTGTGGAGGAGGAAGATTTGATGGTTGAGGAGGTTGAGAGTTTCCGTACCTTAAATTAGGATGATCCCTCCATCCCGGATTGTAGGTGTTGCTTTGAGGGTTATACCTCTTTTGCTTTTGGAAACCCAAAGCATTGATCTGTTCGACGTTCTCCTCTTGTAGTGTTGGGCAAGAGTCGGTGGGGTGCCCTTGTGTCGAGCATATGCCGCAGACCTTGACTTCTTGAGGTTTCGGATTTAAGAGAAAATCTTTAACCAAAGAAGTCAAGCCGGCTACTTGACTTTCCAATGAGTTATTGGATTCTGCCGCCATAACTCGTTTTGATGATCGCCGATCATAGTGCCTAGAATTCTCGGCCAACTCCGAGATGAGGTTTGTAGCTTGAGAAGGGGTCTTGTTGACAATCCCTCCTCCACATGCGGCGTTTATCATCCGCCTATCTTCATTGCAAAGACCATCATAGAAATATAAGATGAGGTCTTGCTCCGAATAGCCATGATAAGGGCAGCTTGCACACAGTTTCTTGAATCGTTCCCAATATTCGTAGAACGATTCATCATCTTTCTGCTCCACGTTGCTAATTTGCTTTTTTAGAGAGGATGAGACAGAGGCAGGGTAATACCTTTCCATGAACGCTTTCTTCATGGCTGCCCATGTACCTATACTTCCTGAAGGAAGATAGAATAGCCAATCCTTTGCGGTATCCTTCAGTGAAAATGGGAACGCCCGCAGTTTGATTTGTTCTTCTGTCACACCGTTTGGGCACATGCTTGTGCAAACGACGTGGAACTCCGATAAATGTTTGTTCGGGTCCTCTCCCCTCAGGCCATGGAAGGATGGCAGCAGATGAATGAGCCCATATTTTAGCTCAAACGTATTACCCTCATCAAGTGTAGGGAAGGTAATACATAGTGGTTGTTGGTTGAGGTTTGGAGCTGTGAGCTCCCTCAGCGTTCTTGTTTCAAGAGCCATTGTGGTTGGCTCTTCGGTGTCGCTAGAACTAGAGCTAGCGGCGTATGAATCTCTGGAAGATGAATCTTCCGAGTCGGTGTTAGAAAATTTACTTTTCAACCGCTCGAAAGTTTGTTCTATTTCTGGGTTTTTGTGATATGTGATTTCGTTTATGGAACGATGTTTAACCATAAACTCCACTAAGCTCAAAAAAAAGAAGAATAAACACTCTTTATATTTTTGTTTGATATATATTTTTATTTTTATTTTTCTTGATATGAAATAAAAGAAAAATTAATTGCCTTTCCCCGGCAACGGCGCCAAATTTGACGTGCACTTGTCGTTAGGTGCACTCAAAATAAATACAATACAATCACTAATACATAGTATAGTGTAGTAAGGTTCGTATCCACAGAGAAAGGAATACTTTTCTTTTATATAAGTAGTAAAAAGGGGGGTTTAGATTTGTTTGCTTTAAAAACACTAAGATAAACAACCTATATGAGTTTAATTCAATGAGATGTGGAGGCTTGGTTTTGCTTTTATCCACTTAATGAAATGTTCGTCGATCCCGGTTATATCTTTAACTATCTTCCTCTCGAATACTCAATCGAGGAGTATATCCAGTTCATCGAGGGTAGTTATTAATAACGAGATGCGTTCATTAATAAAACTTACTATCGAGTCAATATAGAACAAGCGCCGTATATTAACTTGATAGTAGCAATAAACTTAAGATGAAAACGATTGAGATTGATAACCTCAACACAAGCGGTTTATTGGTTTAATCAATATAATTAATTCCCCTTGGCATATTAACCATGAGATGCATGCATTAATATTCTAAGTTTACTACCGTTGAAAGAACCGGATTAATAACAAGCGTATTAACCGATCGATTCTAGTAATAATTAATATGAGAAACAATACTAGTTGATACTTTAAGTAATGTTTAAGATATTAACATGAAATATGAATGGGAATTAATTAATACTCAAGGAAGAATATTAAATAATATGAATCCTACTATGATTAATATCAAGATGTTAACTCATTGTCATCTTAGTAACACTCCCCAATATTAACATAGAGGAAGAAATAACTATTACTATAACCAATGTCAAGATGTTAACTAATTGTCATCTTAGTAACACTCCCCAACTTTGATATAGAAATAGTATTTGAAAGGAAGAATTAATATTCAAGGAAGAAGATTAAAGAAAATAACTCACAACTTACAAATTCATTAAGCTTCAAAGTAGCAAAACCAAGATGGAAGAGTTTAGCTCCTCATTTGGAGACTAAACATGATGAAAAATATAAAGAAAGAGCTATTCTATACTGAGCTTAGATGTACAAAGGAATTGAATATCTTTTTGTGAAGGAAAGGAGGTGTATTTATAGGCTTTTGGGATGGGATTCGGGTACTCGATCGGGTATATACATGGTACCCGATCGAGTACGTGTGTAACACTCGATCCGAGGTATACTCGACCGGTTTCAGGCTATTTTCCATAAGTATACCCGATCGAGTATATATTAATACCCGGTCGAGTATGCTTAGAAAATGGTATTCGGACCATACTCGACCGATCTTCGTTTGAAACTCAAAGGCATACCCGATCGGGTATGTCGGTCTACCCGATCGGGTATAGACAAAATCGTGGCCGAAATCTTCCCAGCATGTTCCCTTGTCTTCGGATCTGATCCGATTTGAAGTTCCAACCTAATACCCGATCGAGTATAGTTAATACTCGACCGAGTATAGACCAAAATTCAGGATCTTCTTTTGTCTTTGAACTTTTGCACCTTCTTTCCACTTTTTGGGTTCACCAACTGTACTTCGAGTGATCAATACCTGTTTGAGCTCAGAATATATCTAATCTAACCTATTTACAAGAATTTAACAAACTAATCTATTACACCAAAAGTGTGTAATTTCCATAGTAAAGATTAAGCAAAACTAATTAAAAACACAAACATAAGTATGGAAATTACAAACGTATCAATATGCATGCAGGCATGCTGCTCCAACGGATATGTCTTGGGACTTGGGATATTCAAAAACTAAACTTTTGATTTCTGAATTGTGTAATAATAAAAAAAGCAATAAAACAATTTCTTTTCTGACTGAATTTGTTGAAGTTAATTATTTTAATTATTTTGTGATTTATTTATTTTGTTAGTAAAATAATCCCCCCCCCTAATTCTGCATATTCATGTAAATCATAATTTAATCGCAACAAGCAGTCAATTGTGATGGTAAATAGTAGATAGTGATAGCATATCAAAGACTTATAAAAGTTAACCATGTTATTATGTGCATTCTCGCACATTGTAATTATGTGTGTATCTATTTATAATATGGTTGTATTATTAATAAATTTATAGATTCGTCTTCAATTAAAAGTTTGAGATGATGTGTGTATCTAATTTTGGAATATTTTTATAATCTAATCAATATAAGCTTATGCAAATTAGATTGCAAACTTGTCAGTACTAATCCCCACATGAGATTGACAATTTGCCCATATAGTTTCAATGTTTTGTAAAACTGCCATAGAATCTGCAAAAATCATATAGTCTTTATGATCATCATAAGCAACCCATGAAGAGTAACAATCTCTTCCCCATTTATTGATTTGTGAACAACACAACAGAGAGGGAGTATCTTCTGTCATAGTATCTCGATCTTGTTGTATCATTGCAAGAACATGTTTTCTACATTCATTACATGGTGGTTGCTTTTTTGAGCATTCTGGTAAACTTTGCACATACTCAATAACTCCTGGGTCTTCTCCATCAAGTACTGCATTTGAGTATCTAATATTTCCAATTGTTATTATCAACACGGAAATATAAAAGATTTTATGGTGGTATGTTTGCATTATTGTTGTTACTATTCTTTTACAACAAATCCAATTGTGTGAATGTAAATTTATAAATATTTAGTACATTGTTAGCAGTTATGAAAACTAAATTGAATATATACGTTTTAGATCATTTATGTGGGCGTTAATGCTATATAGCTCCTTTAGATAAAAGAGTATTTCCATTGTACATTATGCATGAATGCACTTTAAGCGGTTCATGATGCATATTTGTGTTTAAAATGTTGCAATTTTTTTTATTTAACGATCAAGACACTACGTCACTACCCTTTCAAAGAAAAACTATCGAGACTACAACTTTTTGACCAAGTTGATGTATTATTGACACGTTCAGAAACCTTTTATAGTAATGAGGTGTTTGAAATTGATTCTGCTTCTTTTTTTAAAGTAGAACCAAAATTAGAATCAATTTTGAGAAACTAGTTCTCCATAACTTCTAAAAAAACTGATTCTAGGAATTAATTAGAACACCATAAGTACTTCTGCACTTTAATCCAAACACTTCAACTACTGGCCTACTGCTTATGCCCCTTTAATCCAATGCTCTCAATTTATTACATCCAAACACTTCAAAACAGTTTTATGAATTAGATCCAAACACCCCTAAATCCAATGCTCTCAATTTATTTGCGTTGTACATCGTAAAGAGCGATAGAAAAAGCTCTGGATTAATGGAAATCTGCTGATACCTACATTAATCTAATGTTTTTGGTTTTGGATTTGTGGCTCAAACCATCAATTGGAATTTTGAACTTTGAGTATCTCGCTCACTGTTCATCTTCAATTTTGAATTTTAGCTTGTCCCCTCTTAGCCTTCCCATATGCGCGGTTCTGTTCATCTTCAATACCTTTTTAATCTACGGAATACAGATGATGTGCATTTTGTTACATGTTTATATGCATTTATGTTCACCTTCAAAAAAAATCTTAAAGGATGACACCCATTCCTGAGGGCCCCCAACCCCGATCGGACGATACGTTAGGAGGAAAAAATCTTTTCCCGGATATTGTGGTCCCCCTCAACCCCTTAGGTTTGCTTGTGGTAAGAGCCCTAGCTGGTTTACCCCGCATTGAATTGTAGAAAGCTCATTCAGCTGGTTGTTACCCGAAAAAGATTGAAGCTTACTTTTGATGCAGGACAATATGGGGTTTTTGATGGAGGCTAATCCACTGCCTTTGGGTGAATGTTGGAGCAGAAAATGGAGCTTTATCTCCCACCCCTTTCTTTTGTAAGCCCTCTTCATCACCTCCTTACAATATAAACGAGTGTTCTTGTACAAGTTTTATTCACTCAAAGTCATTGCAACTTCTATCTTCTTTGTCTTTATATTAACCTTCACTTCTACTTTGAATCTTTTTCGGTAAGTTGAAAAAACACTGAAAATGGGGTTTACTTTGAAACAACTTGGTGATATTCTACAGGTCATCACACTCATTATCTCCCTGGCTTTGGCAAAAGAGGGTAACCATTTTTGTTATTTCTTCTTATTCTTTTAAGGTGCAAAGTGTTACCAAAATCATTAATTTATTAATCGTCATTTAGCATTAGTATAGGTTATCTCCTTGGGGATGTCATCATACTGCTGTGGATAGATATTCAGAACTTATTACACATCCATACTTATCTAATACTACGTATAAAACAAGAGCGTGCTTGGGAGCTTAAAATTGCAGCTAGATTTAGAAAGTTCAGCTGTGGCTTAATATTTAAGATGAAATTCATAAGAATAACCGTACTTTTATGATTCTACAATAATAATCCCTACGCAAAGTGTCAACAAAAATAATCCAAACTAGCAATGATGTTCATAAGAATAAATTGAAGTGAATTCAAATTAATGTCCGTTTAATATTCTTAACTCTTACTTTTACTTTTCTCTTCCCCCACTTTCTTTTAATGACAAATTCAAACTAAAACCCGTTAAATATCAACATTATTTTCGTCATATGTTGTTCTCTCTAGTTTGGAACATAAAAATGCCAACCAAGACGAAGAGTGTTAAATGGGAAAGTGAAGTAGGGATTGAGGGTATAAAATGGCATTAGTTTGAATTCATTCCAATTATTTTATGTGAATTTCGTCAATATTTAATCATGTTTAGGAACATTCTGTTTTTCAGAACTTTTTCCGCAAGTATTAAGCCGTTTTTTTAGAATTTGAAAATTTATAGCTTATTTGTGATACTATTCTACCGTCTAAAAGCCGCTTCCTTGTGACATGCCAACAAGTTAATCATTTTCAAATCACAAGTCATGGATTATTACCCAAAGAACTGATTACAAATATGAACTATAACTGATTGTACATTATATCGATTATTAAATACCTATAAGCTATCCAAATACTCTAAGTAATAATGTCATCAAAGTATACCTCTATATTCTTATCTTGGGCATCTTTGTATTCTCATCTTCATACCATAATTAAATATTTATTTGATATTATTTATTTTTTCTCTTTAAATAGTGAGTAGACAAATTGCATATTTAAGTACAGAGGTAAGACTGCGTACATCCGACCCCCCTTACCCCACTGTAAGTGGGAGCCTTTGCGGCACTGAGGTAAATGAAAATGAAAATGAAAATGAAAATGAAAATGAAAATGAAAAGAGTGTGGAAGAAGGGATGCCAATCAGTGAAAAAAATGTGTGCTATTTATAGGTGTGTTTCAACACCTTTGACCGGGTACCCGATCGGGTATGGTGCTCACCCGACCGGGTACCGGTCAAAATCAGATCATCCGCCATGTTCTTGTGTTTCTGCACGTCGGATTGTCTCCGGTCACTTCTCACCCGACCGGGTGAGGTAGCTTGCCCGACCGGGTGGAGCAATTTCTCAGCAGGTCTGAATTTCACTTCTTATCCGACCGGGTTGAGTAGCTTACCCGACCGGGTATCAACTCCTGGGCATCATTTCACATGTTTTTCCTCTTTTCCATGTTTTCCTTTCTAACACCACAAATCCTAACTATACTTTACAACTTATAAATGAATACTAAAATACAATTACAAATAAAATCACACAAACGTTTACAAACCAAATAAAATGGTAAACAATCTACACAAATCAAACATAAAACATACATTTATGCACTACTAATTAGTGCATATCAGTCAAACTTATGCATTGACAAACGTGAAAGGTGATACTTTTCCATTAAAAGAGAGCAAAAGTGATATAGGCTTTGGTCATCTATACTACTCCCAACAGTGTACTTTTTTGGCGCGTGCGAGGAATTTTCCCAGCCATCTTTGTATTTCGGTAATTGACTAATTATTCTTGTTTCCTCCCTTCTGTCATGGGAGATGGGGAGGTAGCAAAAAGAACACGAAACGGCATCCTCCCTCTCAAGAAGCTAAAGATGTGCAGTCGTGCAGATGACCACACTGCCGGAAGGTACCATTCCTCTTTTATCCTTTCACCGATTTCAGTTCTCTGGATCGTCTCCTAATACCTACATTAATCTACTATTTGCATTTGAATTCGTGGCTCAGACCACTGTTCATCTTCGGTTTTGAATTTTGTCCCCTCTTAGCCTTCCCATCTACGCGGTTCTGTTCATCTTCAATACTTTTGACTCTACGGTATACGGATGATGTGCATTTGTTACATGTGTATTAGTATATGCATTTATGTTCACTTCAAAAAAATTCTTTTTCAGGATATTGTGGGCCCCCTCAACCCCAGTAGGTTTGCTTGTGGTAAGAGCCCAGCTAGTTTCAATTTAGTTTACCCCGCATTGAATTGTAGAAAGCTCCGCCAGCTGGTTGTTACCGGAAAAAGATTGAAGTTTACTTTTGATGCAGGACAGTATGGGGGTTTTGATGGTGCTCTTTGCTGCAAAAGGATGGAAGCTAATCCCCTGCCTTTGGGTGAATGTTGGAGTAGAAAATGGATATAGTTTTAACTCTTCCAATAAACGCCCTGCCACCCGTCCCTTTTTTTTGTAAGCCCTCTTCATCACCTCCTTACAGTATAAATGAGTGTTCTTGTACACACTTTTATTCACTCAAAGTCATTGCAACTTCTATCTTCTTTGTCTCTCTAGTTTTCTTCACTTCTACTTTGGATCTTTTCCTTGAGTTGAGTAAACACTGAAAATGGGGTTTACTTTGAAAAACCTTGGTGATATTCTACTGTTCATCACACTCATCACCTCTCTGGCTTTGGCAAAAGAGGGTAACCATTTCTGTTATTGTTTTCTTCTTATATATTTAAGGTGAAGGCTGCTGTTACCAAAATCATTATATGTATAGTTTGAAGATTAATTACTCCGTACTAATTGCCATCTTAGCATCAGTGTAAGGGGTATAAGAGTTTATCCTTGGGGATGTCATCATACTCCTTTAGATAGATATTCAGAACATATTACAGATAAATACTTATCTAATCTAAAACAAAAGAGCTTGTCTGGGAGCGTAAAGTTTCATCTTTTTATATACACTTCAGATGTTGGCAGAAAATATAGTCATGTTTGGGAATGTTCTGTTTTTTTTTGAAATTTTCCACAAGTTTTATGAGATGTTCGAAATTTGTAGTTTATTTTTCATACTTTTTACCATCTAAAAGCTGATTGTTTGTCACATGCAAACAAACTTAATTATTTTCAGACCACAACTCAAGAAACGCCAAACGTTAACCAACCAATTTATTACAGTTATGAACCATAACTAATCTACATTTTATTGATTACGAAGTACTCCGTATTAAATAGCTATCCAAACACTAAGTAATAATGTCATTAAAGCATAGCTCTGGCTTCTTAGCTTCAGGACATCTTTCTGTTCTTATCTTCATACCATATAGTAGGTATGATTTTAATTACTAGTAATAGTTTTGAAACTCTCTCTCCCTATTAGTGAGTGCACATAGTGCATATTTTAATTCAATTGAAATAATAAAAATTTGTTTTTCAGTTGATTTGAGCGTTTTATTCTGAAATCTTGACTGCTCAACCTCCTACTCATATTCTTACCCTTGGTAAGACATTAACTAATTAACTAATCATTTAGTTTCCAACAATGTTTACTTCTTAATCTTCTACGGCTTCATCAATTTGTAAAATTTCGCTGATTCCATCTCCGATTCCCAGTCCTGGTAATCCTACATTTACTTTCGTGTGTTATGTTAACTCTTTCATTCCAACAACAATACAAATTTATAGTATGAAATTGCACAATGTTTAAGATTTTTTGAAGAAGGTAAGTATTCTTATATCTAATCTCATATTTTCTATTTCATAAAGTTAAGTGTGAGATGTTTTTTAATTTTATTATGGATCCTTAAGTAAAGGTAAATCTAAAATTAGTATGGAGAAAGGGATATATAGAAACCTGACTATCATTATACTGTTGAGTGTTGATATGCAAATGCAATAAATGATGAGATATGTTTGTGTTACGTGATTTTTGTTTAAACTGAATTATGAATATTCTACATATAATATCAAATAATTTAGTCCAAGTTAAATGATTTTGTACATATATATCTCTATGCACGTATAGCACCTCAATTAGCATATACAAGTCTGGTCCTAAAGATTTCTGATTGTTTGTTGAGTAAAGATATGGTCACATCACTCAAATAGAGAAAGCTAGATGTTAGAAGTTTGCTAGGGGCACGATTGCCAACACTGTCAGTTTTTGTTGGTTTTATAATTCTAAAAATTATGTGATATATATTGGAGGTAAGGGTCAGATTAGTCCTCGAAATTGCATGAAAAGGGTCAAATAAGTCCTTACTGTCTGACCGTCACCATTTGGGGAGGTTCCCGGTGGATTTTTTTGATGATTTTTTTGAGCATCTTACTCATTAAGAGTAGTTTACTCATACCAAATTTCAGCTAAAACTTCAATCGGGAAGGCATTCAAATGAATTCTTGAAGGTAACTGCGCTTTTAACTGCTCAGTTATCTTCAAGACTTCATTTGAATGCCTTCCCGGTTGAATTTTTAGCTGAAATTTGGTATGAGTAAACTAGACTTCATGAATAAGATGCTCAAAAAATTTCATTAAAAAAAATCACCGGGAACCACCCCGAATGGCGATGGCCAGACACAGCCTCCTATATAAGGACTTATTTGACCCTTTTTTGCAACGTGGAGGACCAATCTGACCCTTACCTCATATATATTGTATGTAATAAACTAAAATGGAGTCATACTATATTACTAAAAATGCTTCCATACTTTTTAATATTTAAAAATGCCAAAATAACTAATAGCACTTGATTGATGTCTCAATTTACAACATATTCAAATTTGGGTAGGTGGTTACCTGGCCTTGTAGACTTAAAAAATCTAACTTCATTTACATCTTATTTAATTTATTTAATATTGAAAAACATATGCTACTGTAACCTGTAATGATAAGTGATAACCCTATTGATAAATGCTATTAGTCATTTTCAGGTGATGCTGACTTGGTGAATCCAACCTTGGTTAGTGTTGACGATGGAGCAGGTACACACACATCCAACCGCGTTGATTAGATTTAGCATATTCATAAATATAGACATGAAAATCTAACTTTTCATTTCTATGAAGTTTGCTTGGGAGGGAACCAGGCAGCTTACTTCTACGTCCCAGGGTTTGATAATGGGATTGAAAATTGGATTGTATATCTTCCTGTAAGCTAGCTTTTCTAAAACCTTCTCTTCTCTTTAGCTTTGGGCTTTATTTATCACATGTATTGATAATTCACAGCTTTTGTATTTAATCACATTGCAAAATCTTCCTATCTTCTGTACAAGTACGTGCATATATGTATGCATATAAACATGCATCATGATGGGCTATGTATGTACATATGTATTTGTGTATGTATGTACATGTGTATGTATATACATACATGTACACACACATCTTCACGTATATATGTGTGTGTTAACGTTTACCTTCAAGTGCATTTTGCAATTCATGAACAGTGGCGAATAAGAGTAAAGCACGAGTGAAGTGCATACATATGAGTAGTTTGGTTTTATTTTATCTTAAAAACAGGAGTTGTTTAGTCCTAATAAAAAATTAATACTCGGTCGTACTTAAAAACTTCCTTTTTTAGAATCCAATGCATGAGTGCTATGTTGATGAAAAAGTGGTGGTCCTATTTGCGTAAATGCAATACTATAGTCCTACTTAAGGAGTTTTCTCTCTGAAATGTGCAGGGTACTGAGCTTTGATATACCTATTATGTATGATTTATGTTTTTATTATGAACTTGTGCCTACTCTTTACAATTGTAGGGAGGCGGATGGTGTAAAAATGTTAGTGATTGTGAAATTTACCTTCAGAGGAGATTTGTAGGCTCATATCCAGGAGAATTTCCCTTTGATCATATTTTGAGTTCCAACAAGGAGAAGAATCCTGGTAAATATTTTGAAGCTATTTCTATGAGCTTAGGCTGCTTCGCTTGGTGTTTTCTCTCTTTTTCTGTTCTTAATTGGTTGGAAATAATTTCTAATACTCATTTATGACAAACGTGCAGACTTTTTTGACTGGAACAAGGTTGCTGTCCGGTACTGTGATGCATCATCGTTCACCGGCAATTCTGAGATCACAACGACAAATGTACGATAATAGCTCCTTACATTTTTTCCTTAAAAATGAAAGGATTTGTCACTGATAATAAGGCCATAGTATGACTTCGAAATGAGCCACACAGACACACATATTATTTGTTTATTTTCTCTGCATTTGTTTTCGTTTTACTTCTGCCTTAATTTTTTAATATCATGCAGATTGTTAAAAAAAATGTAGACATAAAAACTTCTATTAGCTGAAAAAGAAAACCCAATTAGTTTGAAGATAAAAGTGGCCATACTAGTTGCTGGTTTACAATTTTGGCACTCAATTCTATTTCATACCATGTATTCAATACAAACTTTTCTAGCTTTATAATAAAATATTAGCACCTATTTTCATTGAATGATAAAGCTACTGCTAAATGAGATTATTGAAACAATAAACTTTTTAGTAATCTGATTGTTTTTAAATAAAGAATTAATTTGTGAGTACTCATGATTAAAAAATATACTATTTCTCTTGATCAAACATATAGATTTATTCATACTCATCAAAATTTTGCTTGAAATATGACCCCATATCAAGCCAATAAAATATTATCACTGTATTTCATACTACTTATTTGTTTTAAAATAAAAAAGAAAACAAGTTGGAAAAATACTAATATCCAGGGTTATCTTTTAAAAGATCAATAAAAAAACTAAGATTCACTATTACGGTCCTTATAATTTAGCTTTGTAATAATACTAGTATAGACTGATCAGACTCGAACATTATTCTGTTCTTTCGAATAGTTGAGAATGGCTATCTTCATCTCTATTTAAAGTTTCTGTCTTGATAGTTGCGGTTTTCAATGTCCATTTTGACGATTATTCTTTAGCATTATTTTTTTGTAAAGTCTAATGAATTATTATTTCAAAATGCATACTCAACAAAATTTTCAAATGTATTTTCTTCTTGTAGTGTTGCATAATTAACATCAAACTTGACAAACTTTGTCCCATGGAAAAGTCGAAATAGGAATTTAAAGTTGGAAGAGTACCAAAACAAACAAGCTCATTCTTGTGATATTTTGAACACGTAACCTACCACTCGTTAGAGATAACATATTCCTCAAACTTGTGCTTAAATATTGGACCAGCATGAAAAATTTTTGATACCTACAAAATATAATTTTGGGGTTCGAGACATCGAATCAACTGCGTCATAGCCCTCATCACCGGGCACGATACTGGCATGCATATACTAATTAAAATTATTTGATTGCTTGTGTAGGTGTTTGTTTCATTTGTACACTAATCATATATGGAGTAATAGTCATTTTCTTTGTTTGATTTAAGAAGCCTAAACGTATGTATTTGTATCTGTTGAATTCTCTTGTAGGGTACTAAGCTTTTCTTCCGAGGATGGAGAATCTACACAGCTGTGATGAAAGAGCTGTTGATTAAAGGAATGGGGAATGCTAAAAATGTATGCATTTAATGTAGAATTAAATGAACCCATCTTTTTTCCTGAACAGAGAACCCATGACTCCTAGAGTCCTCGAAAAAGTACCTCCTACTTTATTCTCTTTTAAGTCAGAATAAAGCCTTTTTACATGAAACAAGAATGCTCCTACATATTTACAATTTTACGTAACTCATGTTTTACTTCTATTTGCTACTACGTATATTATTTTACAAATTTATAGCCAAGTTAGTCCTGCATGGTAATTGAAAGCAGGTTTGTAATTTGTAATCAACTTTTTTGTACTTAATTTCAAAATGTAGGCTCTGTTAGTGGGAAGTTCAGCTGGTGGAGTGGCAACAACCATTTATTGTGACAGATTTCGAAGTTTGTTTCCACCGGCTTCTAGAGTAAAATGCTTGTGTGATGGTGGCTATTTTTTTCTTGCGTAAGTTATTTATCCTCCAAATTTGAATTGTATATAATATTTGTCCAACTACATTTAATGAACTCTAAATATGATTATGCATATACTGAACACATCTATAATTATTAACAGGAAAAATCACACTCGCGGAAATCAATTTCTATCAATGTTTGAGGGACTGATAAAACTACACGTATTCTTCTTGAATCTTTTGCTATAGCTATACCACATGACAGCTCTGATGATTTATTGTGGTCATTTTTATTTATCTCTCGATATAATGTGTTTAATTCTTCACTTTCTAAAATTTAAGTATCCTTTAAATTGGTACAGAAATCAGAAAATGCTCTGCCAAAATCTTGCACAACAACATTGAGTGCAGAGTTAGTAAGTGACATCAAGTGATTAAGTACATGCATCGTATTCAAATTTATTTTATAGCGTGTAACGTAAATTTGTCAACTTGTGCAGTGTTTTTTCCCGCCGAATTTACAGAGAGATATTAAAACACCCATCTTTTTCCTTATGTCAGCCTTCGATTATGTTCAGGTTTGATTATTTTTCTGAATGAGAGACATATTGGGTATATTTGATTCTTTTTTCTTTTATTCAAAACCTCAATAAAAGAGTGAAAGAGAAAACATTTGTTGAACTCATAAAGATGACAAAGTGTTGACATATAAAACAGCAACAACAACATCCAAGCCTTAATCCCAAAAGAATTTGGGGTCGGCTAACACTAATTTTTCCTAATGACAAAGTGTTGACATATAAAACAGCGCGTTAACTAAATACTAATTATCTATTAAAAAAAACTAAACACTAATTATCAGCTAAGCTCAAACGAAATGACAAAGATGAAGCATGTGATTCATCTAAACTAAAATATTAAATAGAACAAAGATAACGAGAAAATGAGTAAACAGAAATAGAGGTTTGCTAGGAAATTTAATGCAAGCATTAAAGAGTGAAAGGATTAATTGAGGGTGATGTATATGTACCACACCACTATGTATCATGGCCGATCTATCAGTAAAGCTATAGTATGCTCTCTCATGCTCTAAACCGTTTAGCTATCAAGAAATAGTTTAGCTATCCTTACGAATCATTTTTCTTGTGTTCAAGAAATAATTTAGCGACGTGTACTCCCGTCCCTTAATGTTTGTCCTACTTTGACTTCACAAGTTTTAAGGAAATGAATTTGACTTTACATTGTAGCGATACTGTTTGACACTGTAGCGACACTGTTTGGCATTGTTTTGCACTGTTTGACATTGTTTGGTATAGATTTGTTTACCAAATAAGGAAGTTGAAAAAGTAGGACAAACATTTTGGGACATCCGTTTTGGGAAAGTAAGACAAGCATTTAGGGACGGAGGTAGTATAATTTAGAGGCTTCAAGTCTTCAACCAAGAAGTAATCAAGAAATAGTCTTGGACTATTGGGAACAAGCAAGAGAAAGATTGTCTAGAATAATACCAGGACTTGTATAAGCTGAAAGCCTTAGCTTGAGAGATTACAAGATATATAAACTTTGAAACTTGTATCTAAATTTGTAAGTTAGCAAATGAAACAAAAAAGTTTCTACTTTTAGTTTATTAACCAATTATTTAAAGGTCGTGGTTAGCATGACCTGTTAATCAATAGTTTATCCAGTTATTTATAAGTGCCAAAGTCCTTCATATTTTTCCTACACTGAATTGATCAAGGAACTATATTTTTTATATGCGCGCGCTGCAGATCAATTATACACTGTCAATTGATCTGACTAAATGCGCTGGACCGAAGAATTGCACTTTGAATCAAATTGAAGCGTCACAAGGTTTGGATTATATTTTCCATTCAATGATCTATACATCGTACATAAAATGTACATCAATTGATTATTAACTTTATGCACGTTGTTGATTATTAATGTTTAGATATTAGGTCAGAGTTGCTCACCGTCCTACCCAAAAAAAGCAAAGCATTTTCTAAAGGATATCTGATAACCTCTCCCGTGGCTCATACTCAAGTAGATCAGGATAATTGGTACAATCATACTGCTGGGACTAATGAGGTATGTCAGCCTGTTGCATAAAATTTCATACCATACCTTCAGCAATATTATAATGATGCATTATACACGCATAAATTTTAAGGATATTTTTGCACCTTTCTTAACTTTAGGGCATTACCGCACCTGAAGTTAACCATAAAGGGTATATTTGTATGTTTTCCCTAAAAGAAAAGACCAAATTTCTCTCCTCCACCAGACAGCATTGAATCCAATAGAAATAGTACCAGCTCTCTACAGAACTAGCATTGGCCAGTTCTTCCTTTCCCCAATTATGGTTGTGCTGCCCTCCATTGTGCCATAGAATGCTTCCCAACCTGACATCATCATCATAAGAAATCCCTATTATACACTCACCTCCTTTAGTATTGTAGAAACTATTCCAATCTAGCACACCGGCTGTCACTAAAATACTCAAGAAAGCACAGCACAAAAGCCTCAATTGCTACTCCTTGCCAATGGATCACCAAACAAAAAGGATCAGAAACTACAACCTAGGGAATCAAGATGTATATCAAACAAACCCTGAATGCACTCTTCTTGCGGACAGATCATAGACTGCACACCTATAAGCAAACCATGAAAACTTGATTCGTAAAACTCGCCGGACAAATCAGCCTGAAAAAATTTGCTCTATTATTTGTCACGCTTTCTTAACTTGGCAAGCTTAACCTTTACATTACTCTTAGTTTTCATTTTCTCAATATTAGTTTTTCTATAACCATGGCACCTAGCAACTGGACTTATCGAGCTTAAGTTATTGTATTAACAAATAAAGGATCATGGTGGTATTTGCTCACTGAAAAAAGATTGAGCTATTTGATTTATTTAAGTTTCCCTTAATTAAATTGATATGGTTTCTCTTATTTTAATTTTTAATGACAGAGTTTAGCGAGCTTTTTTGGAGCATGGTATAATGAGAGGAAGGATGTTCAAATAATAGATAACTACCCCTGCCCCTACCAATGCCCGTATTAGTACTTGTGTGCATGAAGTTGCATGTCTCAAATCATTTTATTGTAGAGAATATTACCGGAAATAGGAATAAAAAGGTTTGAAAATTCCAAAATAGGACTGTCATGTTTTTATTCCGAAAATAGGATTAATTAGTGTCATGTTTTGGCAGTACGAGACTTCAAACATGGCAGTATTCTCTAAACTTGACAGTAATTACTCCTATTTTGGGAATAAAAAACATGACATCCTATTTTGGAATTTTCAAACTGTTTTAGTCATATTTTGGAAACTTTCCCTTTATTGTATCTTGTTATGTAGCTAACTACAATGCTTCAATCACATACAGTCAAGACCAGACTTCGTGAAAATATTGTATTCCTATTCCTAATTATAAGTTTATAACTATGGCTTTCTATTATATTATTGTTGTTGTTGTTGTTATATTATTCTTATTATTGTTGTTGTTGTTGCTGCTGTTGGAATTAAAAAATATATAGTTGGAATTCATGTTATTTTTTTCAAAAAAAATTATATTTGTTAATTAAGGTGAACTATTAGCACCTAAAAATAAATTAATAAATGATAGGAGTAAATAAGTGGAAGATAAATAAATGAAAAACACCTAAATAAAGTTGAATTAAGCATAATTCAATTGGGAAACACATCTAATTTAAAGATCAACCGTTCTACAAACAAATTATTAGCTCCTAATTATTTTCACATTCTAGAATTTATTCAAATAATTTATTTATGATCTTATTTTTATAAGATTAGAAGCCCTTTGAACTTCCGAACTTATGTTGCATATATTTTCTTCCAAAAAAAACTTATGTTGCATATATGTAATGAATTCGAGTCATATTATATGTAGTGTGATTCACTAACTTAAAAAGAAAAACACATTACTAGTGTCATTTAGCTCCACATTAATAAAATGTGCATATTTCAACATGTCTAAAACTTAAATTATACTATCTCCATCCCACTAACATTGGGACAAGAGGGAATGACACGGTAATTAAGAAAAACAAGTTTATATGATTGATATTATATTGATAAAGTAAGAATATAGTAATAATGATTTAGAGCCACACAAACTTTACCAAATTTGGTATGATACAATCTTAGTGGGATTTTCCGAAAAGGTAAAATGAGACAATCTTAACGGGGCGGAAGGAGTAATAATGAGCCATATACAAATCGATTCCTTACAATTATTTTTTCACTTCTCAACAAAATATCAGTAAACATATTTTTTTTCAACATAAAAGATGTATTGACAAATTCAATAAATAATTTACAACCTCTATTGATATTTACCATTTTAAGTCATAAAGTGAAACTATCGGGGCGTGCCCCCAGTAGATGATAAAACATACTCCGTATTTAGCTTATGCCAATTTGATTGAATCTTAATTTTTTATAGCTTAGTCATCCTTACATTATATTATATTAGATTGACAATGTGTCCATATAGTATCAATGTTCTGTAAAATTGCCATAGAATTCCCAAAAGGACCATAATCTTGACGATCATCATAAGCAACCCACACATCGTAACAATGTATGCCCCATTCATTAATTTGTGAACAACACATTTTTGAGGGAGTATCCTCTGTCGAATAATCACCATTTTGTTGTACAAGTGCAAGGACATGTTTTCTGCATTCATTACAAGGTGGCTGCTTCTTTGAACACTCCGGTAAACATTGTACATACTCAAGAACTCCCGGGTCTTCTCCATCAAGTATTGCAAATGAACATCTAATATTTACTATTGTTGTTGTTATCAACCCTACAATATAAAATAGTTTGTAGTATATTTTCATTTTCTCCACCAATCTTTTAGTTAACAATGGATCCAATATATATTATTGCTATATTTATATGCTTATATATGTTTTCGTACATTGCCTGCTATTATGAAAACGAAACTGAATATATATATGAGTGTGTGTACGTTCATGTTATTTATGTGGACATTAATACTTTAAACACATGGAATGTAATTAGACCAAATTGCATACCACGAAAAAATGAATTAAACGTACATATAGTGTGAGAAGAATTCAGACATTAAATTGAAAGAGCACCAATTTATTATATGCCTATGCCTATTATTATATTTCTAGATAGAGTACTTATTTCAAACAATAACTATGACTTTCTATGTACAAGAAATAAAAGTTGGATTTCCATTGACTGTTGCGAGATCTTTAGGCCAAAGAGGCCATTCTTTTGTGCTTTAGCCTTTAGGGCCATTTTATAACTATTTAGGATTTGACGGTGAGCACCACTCCAGGCACCGGCGAGCCAAAGATGGTAGGTTAGGGGGTCGGGTCTTAAATAATTTATATTTGGGGATAATACTTAAAATTATACTCCCTCCGTTTCAAAAAGAAACTCACACTTTCCTTTTTGAGATGTTTCAAAAACAAAGTCACTCTTCCCTTATTTCCTTATTTGGCAAAGAAATCTACATCCAAACAGTGCGAAACAGTGTCAAACAGTGTCCAAACAGTGCCAAACAGTGTCTAAACAGTGTTTTCTACAGTAAAGTCAATTTATTTCTTTAATAATCGTGAAGTCAAACCGTGACTTTCTTTTGGAAACGGAGGGAGTACTATATTTTTTTACTGTTTATAAATATTTATAGACATGCATATACATAAAAAAATCTTGGGAGGACCGAGGCCCCAGCCAGCCCCATGTCTCCACCCCGATTTCAAGATCATACTCTATTGGGCTTGAACCAATTTGACTCAAATTAGTCACCTTGTAGAGTTTTTTTAAAGGCACCTTGTAGAGCTTTTGTTTCATGATTCAAACCACTTGAATGACCATTGAAGGTTTCTATAGATGTTTACAATTTACTTACTCAAGACTTTGATTGTAATTTTTGTTATCTATTAATACCTTTGTCCCCTTCAAATGTTCTGACTGAGAAATGACACGGCTATTTAGATAACAATTAAATATATATATATGGTGATTCGAGTATATTTTGAGAAATAATTTTGATGATTATAGAATATAAAGAAGTGGGTTAGGGGAGTTCGAAGTGATATGCTTTTTCTGGGGTTGGATGAGGGCATGACTTTGGAGAGAACTAAGTGGAGGGCGGGTATTCACGTGAAGGAGTGATCTTGATAATTTTTTTCCCTCATCTTTTTTTTTCGTAGTTTTTTTTATCCTTATATATATATATATATATATATATATATATATATATATTTATAAGCATTATTTGCATCCTTTTTATTTTATCATTTATATATATATATTCATCTTTTTTATATTATCTTTTCATAATAGCTTATCTTTTTATCTTTATTCCTTCTTTTCCTTTTGGTTGTGATATCATGTATCGATTCTTGTTAGCCGACCCCAATATCTTTTGGGACTAAGGCTTGGATGTTGTTGTTGTTGTTGTATAGAATATAAAGAAGTCATGATGATAACTAGGATGTTATAAATGTATTATTTTTTATACTTGATGATTAAATTGACCTTTAAGAGTATTAGTTACTACGTTATTTTCTAAAATAGAAATGAGAACCTTTAAATGTGACGTCTCAAAAAGGAAAATGAGAACCGTAGAAGAATGGAAAGGATGGAGAATATTATACTACTTGCATGGTTCAACATGAGTAGTCCAACTACATTGTGGGTGTGCTATGCATGCAACTGATGCAAGGTGTTGATGTTATTGAGTCAGTCTTAAACGTGATTTGAATAAGAAAGATTTAGAATATGAGTACATAACTTTCATACTAAGTAAAAGATATTAGTAATATATTAAAGAATTACTATGTATAAAATGAAATCATGTCCTGCACACTCTCTCACATATACAAATATGTGTGTGTCACTATATAATATGACTATATACACATATATTAGAAGATAAGTTTTGAATTCAAACAAGCTGAATTTTAAGAGATGTATTTTAATATTTTCCAAAAATCCTCATTTTTGAACCTCTTTAGCTTATGCCAATTTGATTAATCTTAATTTTCCACAGTCATCCCTACATTAAATTAGATTGGCAATGTGTCCATATAGTTTCAATGTTCTGCAAAACTACCATGGAGTCCGCAAAAATAGCATAGTCTTGGTGATCGTCATGAGCAACTCATAAAGAGTAACGATGCCTTTCCCATTGATCAATTTGTAAACAACAAATTCAAGAGGGAGTATCCTCTATTGTAATAGAATTATTAAATCATTAGTATTGTACTTTACATTAAACTCTTTTATTATAAATATATCTGTCAGGGCTCCTTAGAGAGCATCATGTTCCATTATTCTCACATGGTATCAAGAGCACACTAAAACCTTATTTTTTTCCATTCTCTCTCTCTACACTCGGCGCCGCCAGGCTCCCATCGCCGGTGCTATGTCTTCCGACCCACCGTCTTCCGCAGCGTCTCCCATGGCAACCGCCTCCGCGACATCTGCCTCGTCCGTCGCAGGAATTGCAGCGCCGATCGCCAGCGCCACATCGCCGGTCTTCTCCTCCGGCTTCGCCTCACCCAGCCAATATTCCAGGCCTTATTCCCTGTTCCAGCATCTGCCGCCAACGTTCCCTTGGTCAGCACCAATTCCAGTGCAACAAGTTCCCTTTGAGCCGCCCCCTTCTCGGTTCCTTCGTTCGCTGGACCAACCTTCGTTGGGTCGCCGGGAATTTCTTCTGTCCGAACACCAGCAAGCGGCTACACCAATTATCCATTAGCAGAACTTGCTCAGACCATATCACATGTGGCGACAAACGTCACCAATATTGTGACTACCAAGCTTCTAGCGGTCGAAGATTACACTACGTGGCGGACACAGTTTGAGTCATTCTTAGTCTCACAAGGCCTCCTTGGCATGGTTGATGGCTCAATTCAGGTACCTATTGCTTATTCCATAGATGTTCTTAACCGTCAATTTCCCAATCCCGAATTTTCTACTTGGCTGCGCATTGACCAAACCATTCGTTCCTGGTTATTTGCCACTCTTTCTCGTGATGTTCTTATTGATGTTCGGGATTTAAAACATTCATGTGACATTTGGGAACGGTTAGAATCTCGATTTATGTCAGCCAGTTTGGCCAGATCTATGGAATTAAAGTGATTATTTTCTCAAATTAAAAAGAAACCTGATCAGTCAATGGATGATTATCTAAGGGAAATTAAAATTTTGGTTGACGATCTTGCTATTATTAATTGCCCTGTTACTCCTCGTGAAGTGCTCAAAACTACTATTATGGGTCTGGGTTATGAGTATGAATCTATGTTCACTACTGTCTCGCTATTTCCTGACAATTTTCCGTTTGAGAAACTTCGCATTCATCTCCTCGAACAAGAGCAGCGGGTTCTTTATCTCCGCTCCCAGGGCAATTCCTCCATCCATCAGGCTTTCAGTGCCGCGACGTCTTCTCC